CCTCATCCTCTATATAGGTCATTTGATCCTCTTCTTTATTCACTCTTTTTATTCTATTTAATATACTTTCATCTCAGATAATGTGTTCTTCATTTCTGACTGGTTCCCTTATATAATTTCCATTTCCATTTTTATGTTTTTTTTTTTTTATCTCTTTGTTAAAGTTCTCACTGAGTTCATCTACACTTCCCTTAATTTCATTGAGCATCTTTATAACCAGTGTTTTGAACTCTGCATCTGTTAGATTGCTTGACTCCATTATTCCTGGATCTCCGTTCTGTTCTCTCATACGGTTTCTGCTTGTCTTCCTATTTAGGCTGCCTTTCCATGTCCGTTTCTTTGTAATATGCACAACTCCTAAGTCTCCTGGTCTTATTAGTGTGGATTTTTCTGTAGTAGGTGTTCAGTGACACAGTCCTGAGAGGGTTTCAACTGCAGGCCAAGTTTAGCCCCAGCCTGTGGCCCTCTGGGGCCACACGTTAAGATTAAGCAAGCAATCCACAGATGCTTTCCTTATGGTTGCCTCAAGAAACCATACCAGAAACCGAGGCCAGCTCTCACCAATGTGAGTCTTGGCTCTGCTCAGCAAGGAGTACCTGACTCACCAGTGACACACCTGGATGTGGCGTGAGTGGGGCCACAAGTTGGAGGAGGCAGAGTTTCAGGGAATCCTCTGGGCGGAGTGACCTCTGTTATCCAGTTTGATGAGGTCTCACCTATGGAGGCTCTGTGTCCCACATTGGGAGTGGGGAGGGCTCAGCAGAGAATGATGGATACCACCGGCACTTCTGTACAGAGCAAGTCTCACCTTCAGCCCTCCCTCCAACAACTCAGTGTCCTCCTGTAAATCCCTGGTGCTCCCCACGCAGCCGAACTGGCACTAGTGCTCAGATCAAGCAGATCCATCACCACGGAAGTCCACTTGCAGACACGACCCCTTTAAGAGGCATCTGCAGCTGCCAGCTGCCACTACTATGGCCTCTGTCCCACTCAGCTGCTCAAGACTGGGCAGCCTCGCGTCCTCACCCTGTCCTACCTCCTCCTGTTGCAGGGTGATTTCTTATTTCTCTCCCTAGTTGTAGGGCTTGTTCATCTAGATCCCAGGCAATTTTCCTTGCTGTTTGTTTTTTGTTTCTGTCAGAACTTTGATTTGGTTGCAAGAGGGTTGAACATAGCCTCTATCATATACGCCATTTTTTTCTCTCTCTCGCATGTTAAATTTTGTAAAATGCCTTTTTCTGCACCTATTGAGATGATCATATGATTTTTATCTTTCATTTTGTTAATGTGGTATATCACACTGGTTGATTTGCAGATTTGAACCAGCCTCCCATGACTAGAATAAATTCCACTTGATGGTGGCATATGATCTTTTTAATGCATTATTCAATTTGGTTTGCTGATACTTTGTTGAGAATTTTTGCATCTATGTTCATCAGGGATATTGGCCTATTATTTTCTTTTCTTGTAGTATCTTTATCTGGTTTTGGTATCAGTGTAATGCTGACCTCATAAAAGGAGTTTGGAAGTTTTTTTTCCTCTTTAGTTTTTTGGAAAGGTTTGAGAAAGATTGGTATTCTTTAAATGTTTAGTAGAATTCATCAGTGAAGCCATCTGGTCCTAGACTTGTTTTTTGGGAAGTTTTTGATTACTGATTCAATCTCCTTACCAGTATGATGTCTATTCACATTTTCTATTTCCTCATGATTCAGTCTTGGTAGGAATTTGTTTATTTCTCCTACGTTGTCCAATTTTTGTGTGTGTATAGTTGTTCATAGTTCATAGTAGTCTCTTATGATTCTTTGTATTTCTGTGATATCAGTTGTAACATTTCCTCTTTCATTTCTGATTTTATTTGAGTCCTCTTTTTTCTTTGGTGATTTAGCTAAAGGTTTGTCCATTTTATTTATCTTTCAAAAAACCAGCTCTTAATTTTGTTGATATTTTCTATTGTCTTTTTAGTCTCTATTTCATTTATTTGCACTCTGAACTTTATTTCCCTCCTGCTACTAACTTTGGGATTTGTTTGTTTTTCTTTTTCTAGTTCCTTGAGGTGTAAAGTTTGGTTGGTTGAGATTTTTGTTTGTTTGTTTCTTGAGGTAGGCATTTATCACTGTGAACTTTTCTTTTAGAACTGCTTTTGCTGCATCCTGTAAGCTTTGGTATGTTGTATTTCCATTTACATTTGTCTGAAGATATTTTTTTAATTCTCTTTTGACTTCTTCTTTGACCCGCTTGTTGTTCAGTAATATGTTGTTTAATCTCCACATATTTGTGAATTTTCTGGTTTTCTTCTTGTAATTGATATCTAGTTTCATACCATTATGGTTGGGCAAAATGCTTGATATGATTTTAATTGTTTAACTATATTAAGACTTGTTTTGTGGTCTGACATATGATCTGTCCTAGAAAATGTTCCATGTGAACTTAAGAAGAATATGTATTCTGTTGCTTTTTAAGAAATGTTCTGTAAATATCTTTTAAATTCATCCAGTCTAACATGTTGTTTAAGGCCTATGTTTCCTTACTGATTTCTGTCTGGATGATCTATCCATTGATAAAGGTGGGGTATTAAAGTCCTCCACTATTATTGCATTGCTGTCTGTTTCTCCCTTTAGGTCTGTTTATATTTGCTTTATATATTTTGATGTTCCTATATTTGGTGCATAAATATTTACAAATGTAAATATTATATCCTCTTGTTGGATTGATCCATTTATCATTAAATAATGACCTTCTTTGTCTCTTATTACAGTCTTTGTCTTAAACTCTATTTTATTTGATCTGAGTATAGTACTTTCAGGTTTGTTTGTTTTTTTTTCGTTTACATGTAACGTCTTTTTCCATCCCTTTACTTTCTTATTTTTTTTTCCATCCCTTTACTTTCAATCTGTGTGTATCATTACAGCTGAAGTAAGTCTTTTGTAAGCAGTATATAGATAGGTCTTGTTTTTTAATCCATTCATCCAGTTCTGTAATTCCTTTGTTCCTTCCTCCTTCTCTTGCTCTCTACCTTTGTGGTTCGATGATTTTCTGTAGTGGGAAAATGTTAGTTAGTTAGTTAGTTAGTTTGTTTGTTTGTTTGTTTTTAAATGCCTACAGCACCTGGTATTCCTAGGTGGTCTCCCATTCAAGTACTAACCAGGCCTGACCCTGCTTAGCTTGTTCAGGGTGGACAGATTGGCCAAGCAGGAAAGGGTATTTTTAAGGTAGAGGAAACTTGAGGCTTTTGACATGCTTAGAGTAGAATCTAGTAGAAAGAGAGAAGTTGAAGATACATGAGTAAGAAGAAATTGTCTATTTTTTTTTTTAATTTTTTTTTTTAGATGAGGCAACCCTTGATTGACCTCACAGATTGCAAGGACCTTGTCAGCTTACAATCCCTTATTTATTTATTTATTTTTAATTTTTTACACCTACAGCACCTGGTCTTCCTAGGTGGTCTCCCATCCAAGTACTAACCAGGCCCGATCCTGCTTAGCTTTTGAGATCAGACAGGATCCCACTTGTTCAGGGTAGCATGGCCATAGACTAAGTTCTCTATTTTCAAAGGGCAGTAGAAGGAAGGGTTCAAGAGCCAAAGTAATGACTCCTTGTCAAGGCAAGGAGATGGGACACTTCTTTCTGAAACAGGGTAGAAGGAAAGCAGGATGGGTATAGATGACCATATTTGTTGATAGATAATTTAAGAATACTTTAGATGCAAATAACAGAAAATTTGAATAACAGTGACCTAGACAAATCCAGCTTATTTTTCTCACAGAACAAGAAATGTCAAGGTAGGCAACTGCTAGTATTGGTTCACTGATATCACAGATATTAAGGCCTGAACCCTATAATCCTCTTGGCCATTTATTCATAGTAGTATTATAGCTCCCAATGTCAGGCTTTCAAATCATAGGAGGAAGGGCAATTTCCATTAGCACTCTGCCTTTGGTCAGGAGTGCAAGCTCTTTTAGAAGCATCCTAGCAGACTTCATTTTCTATCTCATTAGTCACAGTATGTTATATGACTACCCCTCTTTGCAAAGAAGTATTGGAAAGTGAATATTTAGCCTTTTCAGTATCTCTCTGGTGCTGGTTATAGAAACATGTCACTGGGAATGGATGTTGAGTTAGTTAATCAATCAACAGTGTCTGCTATGTAGGAGAATAGTGACTGTAGCAAAAACTGAAGCATGCTGTACCTACATTTTGTTTGAGAAGAACTTGTAAAGTAATCTGCTGGTAGAATGGAGTGGAGTTAGATTGGTGAGGTGGAACAGGCATGTTTTATAAAACTGGAAGTTAAGGTTTAGAATAATTGCAGTGGGGTATGGGAGGGGGAGCTGGATAAGAAAATATAAAAAGATAATGTCCAGTCATTAGTCTAATTCCAAAGTATTCTGTTATCTTGCCCCAAACTACCATATATAAATCCTTATTGTGAGGATTAAATGTGATAATTATATTTAGCACAATGTTGTTATGTAGTATATAGTGTTCACTTAATTGTTAGTGTCCTCTTGCCCTAAGCAAATTAGTTAACTTTCTGCCTTTTAAACAAGGCTTTTTCTGTCTACCGTTATATAGTTCATTATTCTCTCCATCTCTAGAACCTCTGTAAGTGTGCATGCACGTGTGCACACACGCACACACATACACACAGACTATATCTCCTACTCATTTTTTTCAGGAAAAATCTCATTTCTGTAATTACTGATATAGCTAAAAGAGACTTCTTGTTTTTATACTCCCGTAATATGAATAATTTGTTTGGCATCTATAATATATTCTCAAATTCATTCAACCAGTGATTATTTTTTGAGAGTTGTCTTTCTGTATGACTATACTTCATGCTTCATTCTCTTCATTCTTCATTCTTGTGGGCTGGACCTGATACTTTTTTCCCCCTAATTCTCTAACAATGCTAGGAAGCACTCCTGAGATTTGATGCCGTGTTTACTAAAGGTACTTGAAATATGTTTGTTGATCAGTTAGTTCTCATTCCTATAATTTAGGTCAAAGTATGTGTCAGACAGCAGCAGAGTTATTCGTTTAACATCTTTTACTGACATTTCTGAATGTCTGAAGCCCCAGCTGGAAAGAAGATATACTTATACAGAAGAACCTTTGGTAAGTATTTTGAGGACTGATTAATCCAATTCCTCATTTAAATGATCAGATTTTGAATTTAGAGAACTTTTATTGATTTACAATATTAAACAACACATTTTATTTTATCCTTGCAAAAGGATTATTACATAAAAATTTCCTCTGTTTCCTTTTGAGTATTATGTTGCTATATATTCCATTGATTACTGTTTTCAAAAATGGCTGTGTTCTGGTTTTAGTATCAGGACACTTCAGGTACAAAATAAGACCCTCTAGGATTTTTATTAAGTTTTAACTCTTGATAAAAAAATAATTTTTGATGTTATATTTTGTAGGCTTAGAATTTTTATAAAGCAGAGTACTTCCATAGTGTGGGTACCTGGATCATGTGAATTCACTATACCAGTTCTAAATGATAACTTTACATTCCCTAAGGATTATACTTTAGATAGTAACCTTGGTAGTCCAGATATAGGCTGAACACTTAGATGTGATTTTGTATAACAATTAATTTTATTCTCCTTTTCTTCTAATTAGGATTTTTTTCCTACCAAAATAATGATTTTTTTAGTTTTGGAATGCCAATGGTTAGACATCATAAAAACATTAAATTCTCATATCAGAATTTGTTTATTAGGAAAATAAAGAGAGAAGCAGAGAGACACTATAACAAAGAACAAGAATCTTACTTAAACCCTAAATCATTCTTGCCACAGTTCTCTCAAGATTACAGAGAAGTTTGACTTGCACATAACAAATAGCAAAGAGTTCATGTGAATAGCAGATGCCCCGTTGTATTCTAGAATCACTCTTGTGTTTGGAGACATAGCCAGCTTTCTGTGTTTCAAGAATGGTATTAGGGTTGCCAGTATTGTTGGCACAGAAGCCCATAAATAGTAAATAGTTTATGAGAACTTATACTGTCATTTACACTTTCAAGGCCATGACCTGTATGGGGTGACATTATCCAAAGAGAGACTCTCTACCCCCAGATCCCCCCACATCCCACCACCATTAAAGACGGTTAATGAGCAGCACTGAGAGGCTGTGAAGATAGTTCTTTTTATAACTCTCCTGTAACTATTTCAGCAGCACCTCAAGGCTAAAATAACAATAAATATGTAGGAAAGAGGCCACCAACAGAGATTTGGAAGACTCCTAAAATGGTGTCATGGTGCCTGAAACAAGAATATAGTTGAGGCTAGGAAATTATTATAACATTAAGTTTGAGATCAGATTGGTTTATAATAGAATGAACTCTGCTGCTATAGTTTGCTCCAAAAATGAGCCCTATGTGACAGTCTGATGCAAAAATACTGCATTGATTACATATATGGTATAAAAATAAATAGTCCAGTGAAGAAATGACAGCTTGGCAGAATTTATGAAACCCTGTTGTACAATACCATAAAAAAAAAAAAATAATGTTTCTGGGTGGATAATGGACCTCTGTTTTGTTATCTAGGTTAAAACCATGGCAGATGATGACTTGGGAGGATATGACATGGAAAATTTGTTGCAGTCTTTGTATGTAGAAAATAGAGCTGGATTCTTCTTTACTAAATTTTGTGAGCATTCAGAGAACAAGGTAGAAAACTATTTAAAGTCTAATTTTATACATTTCACTTCATTTTAAAATAAGAGAAGTTGAAATAATTCAATGCTCAAATAATTATGTTTGATGTTAAATTTTTCATCTCTGGTAAGAAATTTCATACCAAATATTTACTAAAAATTTAAACACTTCTATTATAATTTTCTTTCATTCACTATCCTGCTAAAAGTAAAAAGGAAAGTACAGTATAGGTAGACAAAGATTGACCTATGCTATTAACAGTAGTTTATTTTCATATAACTTGTTTCAATGTAACATATATGAAATTTGGAGTTGATTTTTATCAATCCTTTAACTTTTATTTTTTAACAATCTTAATAATTACAACTTATAATAGGTAACGGCAAACTTATTTGCAGTTTTTTTAATCACAAAGTCTTCATGTTGACTTTGTGATGTTTCACTGGTTCAAATGAAGAGTAGTGTTTAGTTCTGGTATGAGGTACATTTGCCCATATATATCAAAATACCTTTGGGGTTCTTTAAGTGATTAATCTAATTGTTATCTAAAATGCTCATTTTATTAGTGACCAATTACGTGAGAAGCATACCTGCCAAAATATAATGTTCTAGTGACAATACCAATGAATATTCTGTATGTTGCCAGTTTGTGATAGAAGATAAAACCATATTAAATTGAACCAGATATATGGTAACACCAAGAAGCTAAACAATTACTTCTATTTGAAATTAGAGCTTTGTGGAGCTTCAATAATGGGTGGTAATAATTGATGTGCTTTTCCCATCTGTAGTTGTGGAGGAACAGCGTGTACTTCTGGTTTGACCTACAGGCTTATCATCAACTTTTCTACCAAGAAACACTTCACCCTTTTAAAGTATGCAAGCAAGCCCAAGTGAGTATTAATGTTGGTTCACCATGAATCTCTAAGTACACAGAGAAATGAAAAGTTGTGTCGGGCCCCAAACAAGAGAAATCTGGGAGTTCAGGCAAAAAGGCAACAGTTAAATTGCCGTGGCATTACTTTATTTAAATGTCAGCCAACTATTGTTTTATAATCTGATTTCTGGGTTCTCAGTTTTATCTATTTTATTTGGTTTGCTTTACTTTCTCTTTGCTGCCAATTACTTGTTCCAATAAAGGACTCCTCCTCTCTCCTTTTTTAAATTTATGCCTTTTTGGTTTGGTTGTGAATTATTCAAAAGAGAACCCTGCCCTGAGAGAGGACTTGTAATGAATCATTGAAGTGACTGGAACAGAGGCATTGGCCAAAGCTGCTCTCTGAGCTTCCTGCAGAAATCAACAGTTGGATACACTTTAGCTGTTGACCTGTCTGACGGCGAGAGAGAATGTTGACTGACTGTGTGTGGCGTAGGCCCTGTGTCTTCGCCTGGGCTTCTGTGCTACACATGATATAAGACAGATACTGAGAGGTGGAGAAAAGACTATCTCAAGACCTCCCTGAAGCAAAATAGAGGAGGAAGAGTAAAAAAAAAAAATAGAGGAGAAAGAACAGAGAATTCTCTGCAAAGGAAGACAGAGAGGGTGTCCAGTTTTTTGTTGGAAGAAGGAAAGGGATAGAATTATGACTTGAGCTGAGTTATCTTTTCAGTTTTTTATTCTTAGGCTCTTCTGATCTTTTAAGGAGAGAGGTCATCAAGCCTAGAAAACTACTAATCACTTGTATATCTGTTGACCACTTAAGTGGTTCTTAAAATCTGAACCCCTTTCCAGAGGACCTCTGCCTGAACAATGCTGAGGAGATCAGCTTTGTCGTTTTATTTATTACCTTGCTATAATCTCATTCAGGACATCAGAGAGTACTTACTGCTAAATGTTTGTTGTTACTTCCACCACCCTGACTCTGGCATTAATAATTGTGCTTTGTAAATCAGCTGACAGAGTTTTGTACTTTTTACCATGAGAATAAGGACTTTAGCTCCTACATAACCTAGATCTGGTTCCATGAAATCATGAAATTATATCTCTAATTTGCCAGTATCATTTTCTGAGACCACACAGTTTGCTCTTCTGCTCGTTAATCCTTTACCTATAATTCTCTATTTATCCTTCTCCTTCTAACCTATTGCCCCTGTCTGCTAAAGTACCATCTGTTATTTTTTATTACGTTTTCACTGCTATAAAGTGTACTCCTCCAAAAATCTTCAGCTGCTCAATTAAGTAGGATTTTTGTTGTTGTTGTTGTAATCACTATATTTCCATGTATTTATAAAAGTGGAAATTGTATTTGAGCTCGACAGACTTATTAATCCTTAGTAATGGTATTATTTAACCATCTATAATGTAACAGGATACATTCAAGTTTTGGTCATTTTGTGATGGATTATTCTGTTTGGGGGTTATTGAGACTCATAAACTTTTTATTCTTTCCTAGGTTATCTTTTAGGGAGGCAAAGCAGGGTGAGTGGAGGGAAGCAATGGAGCAATTTGCTTTCAGGCGAATAGGGGGAAATAAAAGGAGCAAATCATGTGATTTTTAAAAATAAGCTTGTTTGCTTTTTGCACTTATGATTACTTTATTTTATTTTGGTTAGTGCAAGATTTCTGTGCCTCCAGATATAAGAATTGCCTCTAATACCATAATCCTACTGATTTATTTTACAGTATGAAATATTACTCATTTCTTTATAACGCTATATTTCTTTATAGCATTTCTATGTGGCTTTCTTCAAGGATACATTACAATACAAATCTTTGGATTGATAATACCAACGGCAGAATATAATCAGCTGACAGTGTGTTACTATGAACTTGATTTTATATTGTCTTTATATATCTGACAAGCTCATTGATAGGAGACCAAGAGTTGATTCCAAAAGGCTTATGTGCTTTTCTGTATTACCAGTAGGTAGATTATATATCTTGAAGTTTTATTACCTCAAGAAGTATTACAGAAATATCTATAGGCAAACTAGGTGGTGGTGTTGGGGGGAAGGGTCAGTAACAATGATTTAATATGACTAACTGTGGCCTAGGAATTTGAACATTCTTGGGCACATCCTGAAGATTGTACTGCATGGCTTCAATAGGAAGTGATATTAGAGACCAAGTGAAATGATTTCGGCAAAGAGAAAGAGAATCACCATCATAGTTCAGAGATAGAGTCTTTGACTCCAGCAGCAACTTGCCAGGGGGTCATCTGTCACTGCTATGATTTGGAACCTAGGTTGCATCACAGATACTTCTACCATCTTTTTGACATTACATAATCACTTCAGTGATGGAGCATAACAATAGAATGAAGCAGATCTGAGTACCACTATCTTTTGTAACTTCTTCCATCTCTGTAGAAATCTTTCAAACAAACTGTATCCCAATAAAAACTATGCAGTTAGAATTTGCCACTCTCTTCACAGCATATACATTGAGATTTCTTAAAATTAGTAAACATGTATGATGCTTAAATATTATACATGTTTACACACATACAAACATGTACAAAATAAAAATAATTAATGGGAAGGAGGAAGAGAGAAAAAAAAACGGTGAAAATTAGAACCTGGGGAAAAAAATTATGTGGAGAATGTAGGAATTAATGAGTGAGAAGGCAAGTAAGAATGAAATGGGAATGAGGAATAAGAGGATCGCTAGGTCAATCCAAGGCACTTTTCCCGCAAAGTCTCATTTATATAAAGATATTCTTGCAGCAGTGTGAGATTTTTGTTTGTTTGTTTGTTTGTTTCATTGAACTGAACATCAGGGTAACATATTGTTATTTTATCACCTAGATCAGAGGCGATATGACATAGAAGGAAAAAATCACAGAACTCAAAGTTGAAAGACATGAATTCAAGTCACATTATGCTAGTTATTAGCTGAGCAAACGTGGTCAAGTTAGTCAGTTTCATAAGCCCCAGTTTCATGTTTTGTAAAATGTGCATAGTGATAGTGTTTTACATTTTACTTCCTTCTATTGGTTTGGAAGTCAGATATTCTATTTCTGTTTCACCCTTACAATTTTAACATGCATACTGAAATTAAAGTGTATAACTTATTATCTTTATCCTCTCAAACAAGTCAAGGATCGATCCTGGAACACTTTAATTCTACCACACCTTGCCTATTTTATACATTTTTTCTTTTGTATGGCATTTTTATAATGTCTATGCTTGTGTAGATTTAGTAACACAGAATTTCTTGCTTACCATTGCTTTTTACCTCACATTCCTTCTTTGGGGTTTTATTTCTGAAAATTAATATTTTTAGTGGGTATTCATTAGGATTTATTACTGGTAAAATTTCTCAGGTTTTGTTCATCTGAAAATATCTATTTTATTCTCTCATTGCTCATCTAGCTGAATCTAGAATTCTAGGCTCACAGTTTCTCTTAGCAGATATTACTCTCATGTCTTCTGGTTCCTATTGCTATTATTGCTCCTTTGAGGGTGGATGCTTTTCTCTCACTGTTTGTTTTTATAAATCTCTTTGGCATTGGTTTTCTATATTTTACTTCAACACATTTACTACCGTTACAATTCTTGGGTTTAATTTTCGTCTAGAATCTGAGCATTCATGTTTTTCATTAATTCTGTAAAATACTCAGCCATTATTTATTTCGGTCTTTCTGTTTCTCATTTCTGTATTCCGTCATTCTGGATTCCCTGTCTGATCAATGTGGTTATTTTTCAACCTATTCTGTATCTCTCTTAATCTCTCTTTCAGGTTTTTCCATCTTTTAATATCTGTGTTGTATGTTATAAATTGAAATAGATCAACTTCCTTTTATCTGTTTTTCAGTTCATATATTATTTCTTTAGCATTTTTCAATTCGCTATTTAACCCATCCATTGAGTTAAATCATTTTAGGAATTATGAGGTATTTTTTTATTATTACTTGTGTTTTTCAAATCTTCCTGGTGTTTTTGCTCTTTTGTCTTATGTCTTCATGTTTATTCTTTTAAGCATTTAAAACATATCATACAGTCTGTAGCTGTGTTAGTTATCTATTCCTGTGTAACAGTATTATAACTTTGTGGCTTAAAATAACACGCATTTATTATCTTACAGTTTATATGAATAAGGAGTCTGGGCACAGCTTTTCTGGGTCCCCTGCAAGTCTGTAAATCAAAATGTTGTCCAAGGCTGGTTTCTCATCTGGGGCTCAACTGAGGAAGGATCTACTTCAATGCTCACATGCTTGTTAGCAGCATTCAGTGGCCTTGCAGGCCACCAGACTAAGAACTCATTTTTTTGCTGGATGTCACTAGAGGCCACCTCATCTCTGTGCCATGTAGCCCTCTCCTCATTGGCAGCTCACAGCATGGTAGCTCGCTTCTCCAAAACCAGCAAAGGAGCGAGTTTCTTAGTAAGACGGGTATTACTGTCTTATGTAATATAATCACATACACATAGTCACATAAATCTCATCACTATTGCTGTATTCTACTGGTTAGAAGCAAGCCACACATTATGCCCACACTTGGGGAAGAGGATTATGAAAGGGTATGACCACTAGGAGATACTGTGTTCATGGGAGCCACCCTAGGGTCTGGCTGCTACAGTATCCCATAATTCTGTGATTTGTAGTTCTTAGGAAAGCTGATTGTGCTATGTAGTATTTCTGCTGATATGGTGGATTCTTTCCTTGTGTGTTTTATAAGTTTGAATTATGAGCTCTTTAGTGAGTTTTTAATTTTTATCTCTGATGCTTCTGCTGGGTACAGTTATCATTTTTATAGATAATTTCTCATCTTGGAGTTCCCTCATTTGCCAAGTATAATCTCACGGTAATTAATTCTCAGGAGATTTATTTTTTCTTTTACGTGGAGTCCAGGCCAAGACAGGCAAGCCTCTTTTTTGTTTCTTGGGTTTGGTAGGTATATAATCTTGAGATGCAAAACCTACTTCATTGCTGCACTTTGCCTTCTCTACTCA